CCTAAACCCAAAGCCCCAAACCCGAAGCCCCAAGCCCTAGACCCTAAACCCTAAACCCAAAGCTCTAAACTCTAAACCCTAAACCCTAAACCCAAAACCCTAAACCCAAAGCCTCAAACCCTAAACCCGAAGCCCTAAGCCCCAAACCCTAAACCCTAAACCCAAAGCCCCAAACCCTAAACTCGAAGCCCCAAGCCCTAAACCCCAAACCCTAAACCCTAACTCGAAGCCCTAAGCCCTAAACCCTAAACCCTAAACTCGAAGCCCAGAGCCCTAAACCCTAAACCCTAAACTCCAAGCCCTAAGCCCTAAACCCTAACCTAAACCCGAAACCCTAACGATGCTTGCCTGCTCGAGGATGTCGTGAGCGACCCGGAGCTGATCTTCCAACCTACAAGTTGCCGGATCGGGAACTTTGGGGTTTAGGGTTTAGGGTTTAGGGTTTAGGATTTAGGGTTTAGGCTGTGGGGTTTGGGGTTTAGGGTTTAGGGGGTGAGGTTTTTTTTTAAAAAGTGTTATGGGACTTTCACTCCGCATCAGAGCTCAGCCTCAGACCTTCGGGCCAAACACTACATCACCCCAGCTTCCATACCAGCCAGGTATTCCACCCTCGCTTCTACACCTGTCGCCCTTCACATGTGGTTTAGGTTTTAGGGTTTGGGGTTTGGGTTTTAGGGTTTCGGGTTGGGGGTAGCATTTCTCTCTGCATGTGAGACCTGGTAAGTGTGAAGACTTGGCATGTGCAGTGTGTGCACGAGGCACGGAGTGGCCAGTTGAAGGGCCAGTTGTTGCCGTGGTGGGTGTTGACGTCTCAGGGGCCTGCGAGGTTTCTGGCAAAAGTCACCCACAAACCATCTACTAAGTTAGCTTGTCTTGTCTCATCCCGCTAGAGCTTATCCCTCGCATGGTTAACAAGCCACGAAAGTAAGCTTCAGCTCTTTCCTGCTTGCGCTTGGACCTGTTTGCCCCCTACCCTCTTGTGTGCATGTGCACGTAGTTCGGAGGGCGTGCGAGGTCGCGGAATCCACTCCCCATGTGTCCAAAATCCCATAGAGTTGTCATGTGACGAGGATACTTCCGTGTCTCCGAGTCCTCTATCTGTAGTGGTGTCTTCCCCAGCGGTGGCGGAGGTGTCGTTCGTAAAGGGTGCAGTTCGCCTGCATTGGCACGTCAGGCAGCGGTCCCCGCAAGCCGTTGTGACATCCAATAGTGCTTCTCCCGGAATCGTCGCCGGAGACGAACCATGGATCTCGAAGAGTGCCGTCTCCGGGATGGGCTCCAAGGCTTGCGACATCATGCCACCCTGACAGTGCTCAGTGGAAGCATGCACAGACACAGGTTCTCCAGTTGGTGGTTCCGCTGGGCTGTGATTCACGAGCAAGGCGTTCACGACGTCTGTTGAGGATAGTGCCATTTGGGTGGTGCTATCGATGGCGTCCCGCTCGCAGCTGACCACAGCGTTCTGTGATCCCACCTGCTGCACATGACGAAGAACTCGACGAGGAGCTTGATGAGGAAGCTTAAGGTTTAGGGCTTGGGGTCTAGGGCTTCCGGCTTGGGGTTTAGGGCTTAGGGCTTCGGGTTTGGGGCTTCGGGTTTGGGGCTTAGGGTTTAGGGTTTAGGGTTTAGGGTTTAGGGCTTAGGGCTTAGGGCTCGGGGTTTAGGGCTCCTCAGAAATCCCCTATAATATTAGGGTACTCTTTTCCCTACTACTTGGTTTTTAAATTGGGGCGCCGCAAGAAGAAAAGGGCAAAAAGGTATCCTTTTTATAGGGGTGCCGTACTAGTTTGGGGTCCTACACCGGGACCCTAACTCAGAGAAGCTACCCACACAGAGGTCTAGGATTGACCGGCCCGGGACGCGGCTTCGGGAATTAGGGCAACAACTTCAACAGAAGATGCAGGAAGCTGTCAAAGCCCTGCGAGTGAGGGTTTAGAGTCTAGGGTTTAGGGTTTAGGTAAGGCTCGCAAGTTCATTGCGTTCTGTCGAAGCAGGTACAAAGCCCGATGCGACGAAATCAGTTAGAGCCATGAAATATGAAACCTTGCAAATCCCGAGATCATGAAGTTGCATCCTACTGAAACCGTGCGAAGACGCACACGCAGCCTATATGCCGCAAGAGAGATCCAACACAAACACTGCTAGATCCCATAATACCCTCTCAATATCCTACAAAGGTTACGGAACAGAAAATGACGAGACCAAGCAAATCTCTGCCGAGCGCGGCGCCCCTTCTTGGAGTCTTGGAAAGCCTCCTCCTGATCCTGGCATGTGGGTCACGAATGCGGCTTTAACCGGGTGTTCTTGGCAGGCTATCGGCACACGAGGTTTTATAGGGCGTCGAATATCGTTTTTTACACGATTTGTATAGTGCTTTCTCGGGTTGGAAAGGGCCTTATATAGGGTTTAAACTGATGTGCTTTCTTGGTACAGACAGTGCTATTCCGATTTTTAATACGGCGCCCGAAACCCTAAGCCCCACGCCTCACCCAAAGAACTCAGTAACCCTAATCAGGAATAATGTTCAAAACCTAGAAGATTTAACGAGATGATTAGGTATACACCTTAACTAAGGGCAACAAGGAACCCCACTTTCGGCAACCATGCAGTGGGTTCAGGCCTGCGGGTCCCGCAAAGCCCCAACGCGAGGCCCCAAAACCCCTCACGCCTCTTCCTGTGTGCGTCGAGGGCTTCAGCCCAGAGACTCCAATTTCCCTTGATTAAGGAATATACCTTAAATCATAATAGGGACCCTACTAAAATTGAAGGTATGTTCCTTATTAGGGGATATTGTAGTCTCTGGGGGCTTTAGGCGGGGGTGGTCTGATTGGGGGCGAACAGTCGCTGGTTTGTCGCCGAGGCTCTTCCAATAGCGGTAATGGAAGCGCCAGCCAACAGTAGTGTTAGCAGCAGCAACCGAGGCAACAGCAATTCCAGCAACAGTACTAAACATGGCACAGGCTGGACATGACATTGAACAGCGTCCTTAGTGCTGGTATCAGTAATGTAGGGACCTTAATAATTAGAATAGGGTTCTAGGGCTCATTATACTATACCTATAATACGGAACCCCCAAAATACTATAGGTAATTACTTCGTTCGGCCTCTATAGTAAGCGCCCTTACTCGAAGTCCTAGTAACACCCCAAACCCGAAACCCTAAACCCGTAACCGTCCTAGTAACAATTCTAAGAGACGGCGTTATGCCTGCAGAGGCTTCGAACATTGGAAGACCAAGAGCCCCTGTGTAAACCCTGGAAAGCCCCTTTTCAGTTTGGGGTTCAGGGGTTCGGGTTTAGGGTTTAGGGTGTAGGGCTTAGTGTTTTAGGGTTTAGGATTATCATTCCTGCATGCAACAGCGTGAAACCCTGAATCCTAAACCTGTACAACCGTGTAATAACCTCTCAGAGCCCTAACCACAGAACCCTTATAGGAACTTCGTAAGAACCCTGATAAACTCCCTATCAAGCCGTGTAGGGACCAGTATAAGCCCTTGTATACCTCTGAAAACAACCCCCAAAGCAATGCTACAACCCTTTGCAGACTTAGAGCTTTGCCACCCTGCGCCAACCCTAAACCCTAAACGCTAAACCTAAACCCAAAATCCCTAAAACCTTAAACTCCCTACACCCTAAACTCCCTAAACCCTAAACCCTAAGCCCTAAACTCCCTAAACTCCCTAAACTCCCTAAACTCCCTAAACTCCCTAAACTCCCTAAACTCCCTAAACTCCCTAAACTCCGTAAACTCCCTAAACTCCCTAAACTCCCTAAAAACCCCAAACCCCAAACCAAAAGTCCTAAACCCTAAACCCGAAACCCTAAACCCTAAACCCTAAAACCCCTAAACCCTAAACCCTAAACTCCCTAAACCCTAAACCCTAAACCCTAAAACCCGCCTGAAGCTTCTCCCTGAGCTGCACGTTCTCCACGCTCAGTCGCTGGGTGCCAGCCTCCATGCTGCTGATGACTACAGAGAGTTTAGGGAGTTTAGGGTTTAGGGTTTAGGGTTCAGGGCTTAGGCTCAGGTTTAGGGCTTAGGGTTTAGGGTTTAAGGTTTAGGGTTAGGGTTCAGGGTTTAGGGCTTAGGGAGTTTAGGGTTTAGGGTTTAAGGCTTAGGGTTTAGGGTTTTAGCGTTTGGGGGCTTAGGTGGCCTCAATAATTTGAAGTTGGGCTTCTTTGTACCCGTAAACCTAATTAAACCCTAAACCCTAAACCCTAAACCCTAAACCCTAAACTCATCTTTGCCACTGCGGACCCATGCATGTGCGGCCCGTAGGCCTTATTGGCTGCCAAACGTGCAAGACGCTTGGCAAGTGTCTTTGAGATGCCTCCTATGGCGGCAATCTCATCCACTGCTTGAGCCATAGTAGGCCCTGAAACATTGGGGCCCGAGGGCCCCGTCGGCGTCGCACCTGCAGCTGCCATGGTAGTTGCAGGCCGTCGGCCCATGCACAAACAAATTCACGGCGCGAACGCCGAGGGCCGTAGAAGCCCGGAATGTGCCACCTAGCTTTCAACCGGAAACCTGGCCAGTAGCGGGAGCCAGGGCCAGTGCACGAAAACGACCGTTCGTGCTCGGCGAATGTCTACGATCGAATTCCATTGTTTTGTGTAGACATGTGTTGGCTGCGCCGGGAAACGTGCGCGCTGCTCCGTAGACACGTCCGTGAGCGGTACACGGTGCCTGACCGGCCCCTGGCCGGCCTCGAGCCCGAGGCCCGTAAGGGGAGAGGCAAAGCCCAGTGCACCCGGCCATAAATCCAGTTAAACCCTAAACCCTAAACCCTAAACCCTAAACCCTAAACCCTGAACCCAAAGTTAAGCCCAATGGTAGCATTTTCCCTCCTGGGTGCCTGCATCCCCAAACACCCATAAGCCCCGACCCCCGCAAGCCCTACCTGCGGTAACCAAACGATACGACCCTACATCATACTATAGGAGCCTTAATAATTAGAATGGGGTTTTGGGCTCCTTCATAGTGTAACTACAAAAGAAACCCTAAGGAACAGCATTAACAAGCATTTGGGCTTCTAGATTATGCACAGTTCCTTTGTGTAAGCCAGCTAGGAGAACCCTAAACCCTAAACCCTGAACCCTAAACCCTAAACCCTAAACCCTGAACCCTAAACCCCGAACCCTAAACCCTAAACCTTGAATCCTGAAAGCAACGCTTAGCAGAGCCGAGCCCTTCTTCAAGGAACCGTTAAAGGAACGCTTAAAATCGTAAGGGGAAACCGAAAAAGAGCGCTTAAACCCTACGTAGACCCTATGTCCCCCCAAGCCAAGAAAAAACAAATTTAGGGTTTAGGGTTTAGGGTTTAGGGTTTAGGGTTTAGGGTTTAGGGTTTAGGGTGTAGGGCTCTCAACCCCAAGCTCTGAACCCTGCTCCAACGCGCCCGCATCTGAACATAGCGGTCCCCATACCTTTCTAGGGACCCTGAAAGAAGTTAGCAATGACCATTTCCATTTTCTAACCATGCCCCACCCCCCAGCACCCAAACCATAACAACCTATACCTCAACCCTAACCCGACCCAACATCCATAGGTAGAACCCTAGGAAAGACCCACCTGAAGATCCAAAACCATAACAACCTTTGCCTAATACCCACAATATGGAACCACTAGAAGAACCATACACCACCACATAGAAAAACCCATAACTCCCAACCCTAAAACCCCTAAC